CAGAATAAATGATAGAATATATACTAGGATTCCATAGAAACTATAATGTGAATGACTCCAAAATGGCTGTCTTTTAACCAGTCAGTTTAAAAAATATATATCTAAAATCACTTTCAGATGAGGCAACATGCATTATGATTTATTGAGAAATTACATATGGGAACAAAAGGTTTAAAAGAATAGCCTAACATGAGAAAATGCTCTACATCACTAATCATCAGAGAGATGCAGATCAAAACAACAACGAGATATCATTTCACACCACAGAGACTGGCCCACATCCACAAGAACAAAAGCAACAGGTGCTGGCGCGGATGTGGGGAGAAAGGGACCCTCCTTCACTGCTGGTGGGAATGCAGGCTGGTCCAACCCTTTTGGAAAACAGTATGGACGATTCTCAAAAAATTAGAATTTGATCTCCCATTTGACCCAGCTATAGCACTCCTGGGAATATATCCCAGAGAGGCAAAAAGGTATAGTCGAAGTGACATCTGCAATTGTTTGTTCATTGCAGCACTCTTTACAATAGCCAGAATCTGGAAAAAACCTGAGTGCCCGAGAACAGATGACTGGTTAAAGAAACTTTGGTACATTTACACAATGGAGTACTATGTAACTGTTAGAAAAGATGAAGTTATGAAATTTACATACAAGTGGTACTACATGGAAAGTATCATGTTAAGCGAAATGAGTCAGAAAGAGCGGGATAGACACAGAAAGATTGCATTCATCTAGGGAACATAAAGCAACAAAATGGGAGACTAACACCCAGGAATGGCTGAGATTAGTACCAGGAATTTTGCTCCATGACTTGAAGGCCAGCCACATGTGCTAGGTGAAAAGGAAGCTCAGATAGAGAAGAGAGCACCAAATAAAGGGTGTTGTGAGGACCCTCCCAGGGTGGGAGAAGCATGCTAAAAGTAGTCTATAGACCAAACATGATTGCCACTCAATGCCTCTCTTGCAAAACACAGTACCCAAAAGAAGAGAGAGAGAGAACAAGGGGGAATGCCCTGCCACAGCGGCAGGGTGGGATGGGTGGGGGGGGTGGGAGGGATGCTAGGACCTGTGGTGGGGGAGGATGGGCACTCATGGAGGGATGGGTACTTGATCATTGTATAACTGAAACCCAAGCACAAAAATTTATAAGTCTATAAATGTACTTCATGGTGTTTCACTAATAAAAAAATGATTAAAAAAAAAAGAAAATATCAAGTATGAAAACTGTAGCTACTTAGGTAGGCAGGTAGGTAAATAAACAGATACATAGATAAGTAGATACAAGGACTCTTTTATGAAATTTATGTATGTAAGGAAGAAATATACATTTTGGGGGGCTGGAGTGATAGTACAGTGGGTAGGGTGTTTGCCTTGCACATAACTAATTCGGGTTCAATTCCCAGCATCCCCTGAGCACCAACCAGGAGTAATTCCTGAGTGCAAAGCCAGGAGTAACCCCCGTGCATCGCTGGGTGTGACGCAAAAAGCAATATATATATATATATATATATATATATTATATATATTTTATATGAATTGACCAAAATGTGAGAATTCCAAAACAAATATTCTTTCCCAACTGAAATTTGAAAAACCAATTAACCAAGAAACCATAGTTCTGAAGTGAAAGAAAGACATTTTGCCACCACTATATATGTATATATATGCATATACATACATATATACATATTTATACATGCTTAGAAAAGGAGTATGTTCATGCAAAAAGTACTGGCTGTCATGATAAATAATAAAATATACTCTCTCCTTGTAGCTATTTTTTTCATTTAAGAATATTACCTTTTGCTTGTAGAATTTTAAAATTTTAAGGTACAGAGTTTCTTTACCATTTTCCTTAAAAAAAAAACCAGAAGATAAAACTGATTTAAACCTGTGCCATTGGTCTTTTAAATTTCCAAACATCCACATCTTACTTGAACTTTATGATCAATTATGCAAATATGAATGAATTGTTTTGTTTTTTAGATGTAGAGACCGAAAGGCAGGGTAGTTAAAAGATGTATCATACAGTTCAGATAAAACTTTGCAGAACTGATATGAGAACACAGGATTCTCATTCTATCTCCAGTTTATTAAACTGATTTTCCAATTCTACGCAAATCTTTTCAGTGGCTTGAGGTTTTATACTGTCAAATAATATATTAATTAAAAGAGCTGCTGCATGGAGGTTAAAAACACATTTGATGTAAGACTTTTGCCCTACAAAGTATTTTTATGGTCTTGCCTCTCTAAGTTGCACTAAGTAGTAGCAAAAGTGATAACAATTGTCATCATCAGATCATTGTTAAGTCTTATGTTCTGGGAACTGACCTGAATGCTACATATACTGTCTTTAAGTAAAACACATATATTTCTACTGCCCATGGAATTAAGGTTCAAAGTGGTGCCCTTTCACCGCACAGACCAAAAGAAACTTCAGGTTTCTTCTAATACTTAGTACCATAGAATCTGATTACATTTGGAGCTCTTTGGCAGTAATTAAGATTACATGGGGACTCATAGGTAGGAACAAACCCACTGTAGCACTGCACTGTCTTCCTGTTGTTCATAGATTTGCTTGAACGGGCACCAGTAACGTCTCCATTGTGAGACTTGTTGTTACTGTTTTTGGCACATCGAATACACCTCGGGGAGCTTGCCAGGCTCTGCCCTACAGGTGGGATACTCTCGGTAACTCAATAAAGCTAATATACATATAAGAAGTGACAAAAATAAATACAAGGGACGTATGAACACAGGGAAAAGGTCATCTGATGATATAACAAAAAGTAGCCACCTGCATACCAGGGAGAGATGCCTCAGGAGAAATAAAACTGATCAAACAGCTTAATGGATTTCCAGCTTCTTAAACTATAAAAAAAAACAAATTTCTTTTATGGCATTTTGCTAGGCTTCCTTAGAAAACTAATACATATATAAAAATATGTTTCTGTGATATATTTCCTTTCTAGCCTGAAACTTATTGAAAACTCGAGAACTGAATGCAACTGAAGAATCAGGCATTCAATTCTAGTACTACATATCCTTGGTCTTTGATATTGATTGTGAAATGTGCGGTTGTCTTTATCCATTCAAGACATACTGTGATATATCCAGTAACTGTGCTTAGACCTTTTCGAAGACCTCAAGTAGGATTCCATGTCTATTTTCAATAAAGATTAATACCTTATTGTAAAAAAATAAATAAATAAATAAATAAATAAAGAATAGCCTACAGGATAGCGTTATAGTCTTAATGATTAGATATGATTATAGCACTTAATATGTGGGGATCTGTTCATGATATGGACCAAAAAATATCAGTTATAAATTCTGTGGAGAAAGAATAAAACGACTGTGTTTTCCATATTGATATATTCCACTAATATAATTTACTTATAATAAGATTCACCATTGGTTAAAGGTCGTGTATATTTTGTTGATATGGAGGGCTGGAGCGATAGCACAGCGGTAGGGCATTTGCCTTGCACGCAGCCAACATGGCCAACCCGAGTTCGATTCCTCCGCCCCTCTCGGAGAGCCTGGCAAGCTACCAAGAGTATCTCGTCTGCACGGCAGAGCCTGGCAAGCTCCCCGTGACGTATTCGATATGCCAAACACAGTAACAACAAAGTCTCCAGTGGAGATGTTACTGGGCCCGCTCGAGCAAATCAATGAACAACGGGAGGACAGGACAGGACAGGAGGGAGGAATCTCTGTACATCAAAACCACAAGAGTTAGCACTACTGTAAGCATGTGACCCAAACTATAATAAGAACGCTTAAGAGGAAAAATGAGTTTGCTAAAAGAGGAGACAGAGCAAGCCTTCGCCACTGGAGCAGTGACACAGCCATGATAGTGGGTTAGAACAGCGAATACCCAAAATCATTAAATACTTTGTAAATCAAGGTGAATAAATTTTTAAAAGTTATAAAAAATAGCCTTTTTATGAAAATCATAAGATAGAATTGGCAACAGAATTGACGGTGAAACACCAAAGATCTCATATACTTCAGAAAAGGTTGTACGAGTCACTTAGATAAGGGAATATTGAATTAAAAATTGTAGTGTTTCTAGCGTTAAAGTCAAGATTACATAATTTTCTTATGTGTAGTTAAACATTCTTTCCCTAAAATCCACACATTTTCAGTAATATTTATTTTAAAATAGAAAGCAAAATTGAGAAACAAAGGTGATTGTCTCAGATAATGAAATCATGCTTTGTACCACTGTCCTCCCATTGTTCATTGATTTGCTCGAGAGGGCCCAGTAACATCTCCATTGTGAGACTTGTTGTTACTGTGTTTGGTATATCAAATACGTCACGGGGAGCTTGCCAGGCTTTGCCATGCAGGCAAGATACTCTCGGTAGCTTCCCGGGCTCTCTGAAAGGGGCGGAGGAATTGAACCTGGTTTGGCCAGGCTGGCCACGCACAAGGCAAACGCCTTACTGCTGTGTTATTGCTCTATCTTTTGTATATAATATAAAAAATGCTTTGTATGTGATATAAAATAAGGACATTATTTTGTATTTTGGTGTTAGTTTCCTCCATACTTTTAATAAACCATGCTTTTAATAAAAAACCAAGACTAGGACATATTTAAAACAGTTTTACATTTAATTTTCTTATGAGAAACCAACAGTAGAAATACTGAGGTAGTTTTTTGCATTTACATAATGTCTATAAACTAAAATTTGATTCATTTATTTATTAATGTATGGATCATTGCTAAGTTATATTGCAAGTTTTGTATTAGGTACCAGTGAAAAAACATTACTGTGTGTATTTGCCTCTTAATAAATTATATTGAGTACATTTTCTATAGTAGATAGAAATATTTTCATGTTATTTCCAATTAGATATTTTGTTCAAGTGAATTATAAACAGTAGCTAAATTACTAGATTTATCCATTCTTTGTCATCATGGTATAAAATTTCAAAGCTATTTGAATCTGCTTTTCCCTTATTTTAAGTTTTGCTTTTGTTTTGTTTTTCAGAGCTACATTCATGGAAGCAGCCAAGCTCAGTTCGTAGCAGAATCACATATTATTCTGGTACTAAGTATCCTTAAAGCTATTGATGGATTGAAAAGGACAGGTTAAGGTTGCCTGCTGTCTATCAAGTTGATATTTTTTCTAACAATACATGTGAATACATTAAATTTTAAATTTTATTATGTGACTAATTTTGTAATTCCTGTGTTATTTCCTATAACAGTATCTATGTATATAAATACAAATTTATAACAAATTTCTTAGTATAGCTTTTAGCTCTGTGTTGACTGTCTCTGAATGGAGTTTTATGTGTGGTGTTTGTATACATTTTAAAATATTATTTTGATTGAACAATGATTACAAAGATTGCTATTTTAAATACATATACCTTTCTACTTGCTCTTCTAGAAAAGAAAAAAAAGAAAAAAATGTCTAATGTTAAAAACAGACTAAGGAAACTAATCTCAGTACCTTAACTATTATGTGAGTCAGAAAAGACAGAATATAGAGTGTTTTAGACATCTCTTTTGAAGCATTTTATACATTTTTAATTAGATAATGAAGTACAATAAGCAACTTATGTTTTGAAAGAAAGGTAAAGAAGATAGCTATATATGAAAGCTATGAGAATCAACTGTCCTTTTAAAAACAAAATATAAATATACTTAGAATGAAGTAAAGTTACCTTTTTGGGCAGTAACTATTTGGGGATCATTGATATTTGAGACTCATAGAAATTTTTGAAGGTTAAAATTATAATATTGTTTGAACATGTTGAGTCATCAGGGTTTAGTATCATTTGTAAAATCTGATTATTTTCCAGGCTATGTAGACTGATACTTAAACGTTAGTCAAGATCAAATTTCTTGTATTGTATAAAACTCTAAAACTTCTTAGGAATTCTAGAATTAATCCAGGCCCAAATCCTACTTTATAGGTAGGAAAACAAAAACCCAGAAAATTTATTTGGTTTGCCTTAAGTTAGAAGACCAACTCGGTTTTAGTTTTAAGTTTTATTTTAGATGGTTATTGGTTGTACATGTAAATTTTGTATTTGGCATTTTATTTATATTATATGACAAAATTTTTCAAATGGCATATCTTTTCTTTTTTTGTTTGTTTGTTTTGGGTCATACTCAGCGATGCTCAGGGTTTACTCCTGGCTCTGCACTCAGGAATTACCCCAGGTGGTGCTCAGGGGACCATATGGGATGCTGGGAATCCAACTCCGGTTAGCCGCATGCAAGGCAAATGCCCTACCCACTGTGCTATCACTCCAGCCCCAATGACATATCATCTTGAAGCTTGTTTTAATCTGAATAGAAAAAACTCCACACATAAAAATGTTTTTATTTTTTACCCTATTAGAACAACGTATTTTTTTAAATATCAGCAAATACATATTCAAGTTATCCATCTTATTTGTGTACTGTGACTTGAATCCGATGTTAGTACTTAACAGTCTTGTAATTTGTTATTGTGGAGAAAAGGGGTGAGAAGTGCTTTGAAGTGCACTAATTCTCAAGAAGCTCAAAAACTTTCTCATCTGTAAAGTTAGATTAACCTGGTCTGGAAAAAATGAAACAGCATACATAAAGGCTAGGAAGTTCCTCTTTTAAGTCCTTTCTCACTTAGTACTTTGCTTGTTCTTGATAGCATACATTGTATTTACTGCTTGATAATTTATCATTTAACAAAGGTACACTGACAATTAAATCAGTCCTGTAGTATTCATCTCAATTCACTTAAATTTCAAAGACTATTTCTTCTTGCAGTAAGGCATTTCAAAGATAATAAAAAGAAAATTTTACCTTTAAAATAAATCTTATGAATAAACATTTTATATTGCATTTTAACTAGCAGTGTCTTTCTGAAAGTTTCCATTTACCATCTTCTGCTGTATCAGTTCTCAGTATTTTTATTCTTTCCACCCTTGACCATAAACATACTTAGCTGAATTCATGCAAGTATACATAAATACACATAGCCCATTCCTTGTTTGCTTTATTTATCCATGTGCTCTATGGTTCCAAATTCAAGGGCAGCTTGAGAAGTATTTTTTCAATGACTGGAATAAGAAAGAATTAACATGCTGTGATCTTGATAAAAAAAACTACCAGGTTTCTGTTTTGCAAAATTAGCAAATTAATAAAATTAATACATTTATTTATCATAGAAACCTCAGGTAAGAAAATGAAATATTTGCCAATATGTTCTGCAGTGCTTTACACAGTTGCAAATATGTTTATGGGAACATCTGTTCTTCCTTATTAAATATGAACCTGGTCATACTTAAGCTTTATTTGTCTTGCTTATTTATAAAGTACTATACATTTATGTTACTATATAATGGTAGGAACAAATGCGGTGTTGGTAATTTATTGTATTTATTCATTTCTGATTTGGGGGCCGTCCCTGGTGATTCTCAGCGATCACTTCTAACCGACCCGGACCCATGGGTTGCCAGAGCTCATACCTAGGTTGGCCACATGTAAGGCAAGCACCCTGTCCTCTGTACTACCACTCTGGCCCTTCTGGTAATTTTAGCTCTCATGTATAGTAGTTTATTTTTCTTCTTTCCATTTTAACTCAATAAAGTATCATTTAAGGGCAATGTTTTATTCAGGTAGCTAGGACTACCCAGCAAAAGGAATGAAAAGCTATATTAAGTCTATCACTCCATTGCCTGGTAGAAATTCTCCAAAGTTTCATTCATAGTTCATTGATATCTAGCTGAGATTTAGGAAACAAAGAAATTCTACAAGCAGTAAAAAGTCTTCCATATAGATTTTTAAATACTACTGCATAACTAAATTGAAAATCCCTATACTCTTTATGCTACAACTATTTGTTACTTCATTTTACTGATATGTTGAGAAATCTATTTCAAATTAATGGACTCATGAAAATATTAAGTACAATGCAAAAGGACTCAGTTATTTCTAGCTTTTAATTTGGCAACATCTGAGTTTTGATGTACGTATATTTCTTTAAATTATTTTTCAGAAATTTTTGTTTATCTGTAGAGAACATTTATTCCATTTTACTTTTGTTTTCCTCCACTTAATATAGTAACCTTAGGAGAAATTGATTGTCCCAGAATTTTTGTGGCAAAAACACAACAGAAGAGGTGTCTTGTATTATAGGTTATAGATTCACATTTACTAAAAATATATTTTTCTCCCCATTAGTATTATTTTATTTTCTTACTACTTTTTTATGGGGGTAGTCCTAAGAATTCTTTGAGGAAAAAAAAACTATCTTAAGATGGAATGCATCTTTGAATATGAATTTAATACATTTTAATATGAATGTATATGAACTGCATATACAACCTAAAAATAACATTTAGTCCTGTATGTCTTCACCATAATAAAAACAACTTAGTTTTATTTTGTTAACATTTCATGCATTCCTGTGTCTTAATATCTTGATACAAAAAATTGCTTACAAGGAGACTGATCAGAAAGAAGAAAAATTAGTAAAATTCAGCATTACAAATGTAGTTACCAATCCTCTGAGAAAGAAGAAAGTTAGAATGACTTTGCTAAGAGCAGTTAAGCTGACTTTTTAGCTGGTTTTTTAAGTAGAAGAAGTTTCTAGTGGAGATAAAGAGTGACAAGGAACACATTAAGAGTACGGCAGGTACAGAAAAAATGAAAGGTAAATTCACAAATTGTGAAAAGGAGATTGATGAAACATTCCTTTATTTGAATTGTTAAAAATCAGTCTCACAATGGTACTGGAGAGTTGGTCCAGTGGAGAAGGCACTTGCCTTGCAAGTAGCCAACCTGAATTCAGTCAAATTATGGTCTCTGTGTACCAAGGGTACAAGATGCATGAGTTTTAGAATGGTGTTACTTTCAACTGTAAAAACTCTCATTTGGCTTCTAATTTTCCACATCCTTAAATTCTGGGATCTCAAGATGTTCATGAGACAAGTTTTTGCTTGCAATATTTTAAAAGTTATGTAAGATACATATATGTGTGTATTTCCTAAACACTTGTGCATTCTAGGTTGGCGCCATAGCCCGCTGTGCTCAGTGTTTACTGCTAGCTCTGTGCTCAGGGGTCATTCCTGGTGATTCTTGGTGAACCACTGTGGTGCGGATTGAAATGAAGTTGGCCTTAGGCAGGAATATTCCTTAGCCCCTGGATTCTCTTTCCAGTCCTATGTATGTATTCTTAAAGGGACCACATTGCCTTTTCCTAGGAGAAGAACACTTGTTTTCCATTTATTGCCAAAATGTGATTTCATTCTATGTTTATTTTTGATCTGTAAAGGTGGATAAATGTTTCTTTTAATGTATTATATCCAAGAAAAAAAAATACTATAGAAGAAAATTAATGATGGATGCAAGTTGAAAATAATTTTAGATTCAGATCCCTTTATGACTTCTATTATGCACCAACATTTTTCTTTTAACTTCTATTATCATTTATCTTTAAATTGACAGTTCTGATTTTCTTCCGAGGAGCAATAGTAAATTTAACATGGTGTGCAACTGAAAATGACTTATAATGTAATACAGATATATTTGTTACTAGCTCAGTAGGATGCATAGAGCCTCTGGGTATTTTATATGATTTACACCAGTAGGAACTTCTGTTCTGTGTAGGATCACGTAAATACTTTTACTTTTTTAAGCAGTAAGAAGGTGATTGACAAAACCAGAAGAGAAATACAGTGGATGAAGTATTTATTTATGTGGTATTAAGCATGTGAATACATGTGCAATGTAGGGCAACATAGGCTTCTTTAGCCAAAAGGTTGTTTTGGTTGATACAATCAAACTTCAGTAAAATAAGCTAACATTAGCAGTTGAAAGGTATATTTATATAAAGAGAGGTTTGGTGAGTTTGTATTCATTTTAATTCATATAGCTAGTTACAGCCATAAAATATAAAGTGGATCCAAAGCTCATTTCTTATTAAAGCCAAGGAAACGTGCTATAGAAGGAAACGCCATTATAAGGATAAGATTACTGGTTTCCTGCCCTTCCTGTTTTCTAATTAAGTAGTTTACATGAGATTTTTGTACATTTGTCTAATAATTCTTTTAAGTTAAAATTTGAAGACTGTATACACGAGAGTTTACTAAGTTCTTAATACTGTATTTTCAAATACAAATAAAATAAAGTCTCCCAAATATTATATACAATCTTTAATATTGTTTTAGATCCTCTGTAGTATTGGAGGCCAAATCTAGCCTATTGTTTTTGTAAATACAGACTTATTAGAACACAGCTCTACCTGTTGTCTAAGATTACTTTGCACTACCATACTGGATTGACTAGCAATAGTAGTACATCTTGCAAAGCCAAATATCTGTATTTGGTACTGTTTTCAGAAGCTCAAATCTTGGTAGGATGGTCAAGTAAAAGAAAGATAATGTCCAACTCATTAACTCCTAAGATGGTTGCTATTAACTTTTTCTTTCCTTACAGTCTCTTCATTGTTTTTACAGATGTGTAATTATATTGTCAGTATATATTTTACTTCTTACAATTTTTCTATGCCTCACAAAATTGAGTTCTTTTATTATTTCTCATTTTCATCTAACCCTGTGATAGATAAATTAAAAAAGGATGCCTGCTTTTTTATGCTTTTCTGGTTTGCAGTTTTCATTTTTAAATGTGCATAGTTTTTGGTACAAGATGTTCAACACCCCTCAACTTCAGTGACATCTATTAAAGATATGTTGATAGGGTGAAAATCATAGCTAAAGCACCATTTCTTCCCTTTTGGAATTAACACTGCAGTTAAGAAGACAACAGGAAGATACAGATTAGCAATGCTATAGAAAAAGAATTAAGAAAATAGTAGCTTTTCTGGTGTCATCTGAGCAGAACCATGAAGGAAGTGAATGAATGAGTTTCTTGGGTATATGGAGGAAGAGCTTTTTAATCACAAGGGAAGTTCCGTGTACCTGAGCCCCAAGTTCTGTATCATTAAAATAACAGAATCTGGAATAAAAAAGCAGAGTAAATAGAGTAAAGAGCATCATATAAATAGCACAGGTAATGAGTTCACGGGCCTGATCTGTGTGACCTTGAGACCATTTTTAGATCTTCAGAGTTTACTGGCGATAGTAAGTTGTAGTGGAATGAGCAGCAGAAGTACAAAATGCACTCTGAAAATAAAATACATATATATGTTAAATTCATTTTCTGTTCAAAAATGTATCTGAGTAAAACTAATGCATAATCATATGTTAAATAGGAGATGCTCTAACAGATTTTGAGAACCTGTGTTACTTATATGCGCTATAGAAGTCCAAGAATTTGAGCCTACCTTAAAAGGTTTTAGGAACTTAAGTTTCTGGTTCACTTGAAAAGGTAAAGCTGTTTCAGTACTGAAAGGACAGTAATTTCATGTTATATATAAGAAAGGATTAAGTTGTGTTTACCTGGGCTGGAGTGATAACACAGCAGGTAGGATGTTTGCCTTGCAAATGGCCAACCTGAGTTCGATTCCTCCACCCCTCTCGGAGAGCCCAGCAAGCTACCGAGAGTATCTCGCCCTCATGGCAAAGCCTGGCAAACTACCCCTGACGTATTCGATATGCCAAACACAGTAACAAGTCTCACAATGTTACTGGGCCCGCTCAAGCAAATCGATGAACAACTGGAGGTCAGTGACAGTGATTTATAATTTAACCATTCTGTTATAAAAGAGAGTGTTTAAATCTAGAAAATTAATAGAGAGTATTTGCATCTATTTCTGCTATTTCCTTGACAACTATTGTAGATGCTGCCATCACCATGGGAATGGTTCTTCTGAATGAAGCAGCAACGTCCAAAGGAGATGTTGGTAAAAGACGAAGTAAGTCTAGATTTGCTATGTCTGTAATTTTGCTTCTGTCTTAAGATTCGTCTCTAACAAATGAAAATATATCTGAAAGACCTTTGTAACAAGATGCAGTCTGGCTAGAGGAATATTCAGAATTCTTTGTTTTTGTTTTTGATTTATAATCCACTTTATTTTTTAATTTCTTTGATGTGTGTGGATACGACTATTTGGAAGTATATTTCTTGAAGAATGATGATTTTTCTATGGCCTTACATATATATGGAGAGAGAGTATTTGTGCTTTATTGGGAGTTTCCTAATCCATCTGATCAAGCTAAGTTCTGTAGTAATTTCAAATATAAGAAAGAGATGGAAATTCTGAGGCCAGAATCTTCTGAGATTTCATTGGCAAGGGATCTCCTTGTTTTATCAGTTATGACATCAAAAGTGACAGAGGAATTTTCCCCATGTATATTGTAACATGAAATATAGTATTTTACAGTTACATCAAACCTCTTAAAATTTTTTAGTATTTTTATTTTTTAAAAAACTTTATTTTCATAAAGTTGTTCACAGTAATGGAGTACATTCAATATTTCAACATTTCAACTCTAGTTCTACCACCTTCTTGCCACCATTATTTTGAATTTTCCTGCCACAGCTGAAACCTGCCAAACAGACAGATGCTAGATAATTTATTTTGTATGCTTGTTTTGCATAGCAATAGATTTCTAAAAGTTTAGATAATTAGGGTCTGTAGAAATTTCTGCAGCGAACTGCTCAGTTCCAAAATTCTTTTGTGTGTCTCTGGATCATGACTGTTAAGGAGCTTAAATAGCAGCCAGAGGCATTTTGTGGGCATTGACCTCCAGGGTCCCATGAGGGAGATGAGAAGGACCTGCCTTATCCCCTGCCCCTTGAGGCCTAGAGTGTACTGTCACTGAACCCGGGTACCTGGACATATCATTGGGTTCTGGAAGTTGGCAGCTTCTGGGATTGTTAGGGGGCAGGTAGGGGGAAGACTCCTGCTCCCGTCTGAGGGACCCCAGTGAGATCGGCCTGTCCCAGTGCCTGGAAGCATCTCTGCAGTGAGCTGCTCAGTTCCGTTATCCTTTTGTGTATCTCTGGATCATGGTACTTTTTAACATTTTTAAGGAAGGCATCTATTGATCCTGTTTTTTTCTAGGTTCTTCACTTTTCACTTGCTATTCCAATATCTATCAACAAATTCCAGCTATATGTGTGTGTGTGTGTGTGTATGTGTGTGTGTGTGTGTATCACTATCACTGTCATATATCACTGTATCACTGTCATCCTATTGTTGATCGATTGCCTCGAGCAGATCCCAGTAACATTTCCTTTGTCCTAACCCTGAGATTTTAAACAGTGCCACATTCAAGGCTCTTTCAGGGTCAGGACAATGAGACCCATCATTGTTACGGGTTTTTGGCATATTTTTGCCATACTCTACCATGTGGGCAGGATACTTTTGGTAGCCTGCCAGGTTCTTCAGAGTAAGAATGGGAGCAGGGTTTTATAGTCTCTGGGTCTTGGCCATTGATGGGATTATACTGCGCCAGGGGCAGTTGGTGGGTGTAACACCTACATACTGGAAGATGGGGGATCTGGGTGGAGGAGGCCCCAGTCCCAATCCAAGCAGGCTTGGAGATCTATGCCCCGGGTCCCGCACACCTGGGTTCCTCTGCTGGTTCCTTCATGTGGGAGGCTCGTCCAGGCTCTGTTACTATGAATATTATAATTTTTTTCTTTGAAGTCTCTGTAGAATCAAAGAATAAACAGAGTTTTATCTCATATATATGTGTGTGTGTGTATATATATATATATATATATACTCTCCATATATACATATATATATATATATATATACTCTCCATACACACACATATATATGATAAAACTTTGTTTTCTGATTCTACAGGGACTTCAAAGAAAAAAATTTATAGTATTCATAGTAATAGAGCCTGGAACCAAAAAGATGATAATCTACATGGAGGGGCACAGATTACAAAGAGACAGGAGATGTCTTAGATTCAGTATTTTCAGCTACAGTCATTTTATATATGTATTATTATAATGCCACCAAACTTATAACTAAACTTTTAGGAAATTCTTTGATTTTCTCTGAACCTTTTTAAAACACAGAGTTTGGGTCCAGATAGTACAGTGGGTGGGGTCTTTTCCTTACATATGGTATAGCTGAATTCATCCAAATACCACATATGGTTCCCTGAGCACCATGAAAACATGAGCACAGAACCAAGAGTAATCCCTGAGCATCAGCAGACATGGTTCAAAAAAAGCATACACAAAAAGCTCACAGAATTTAGGAATGAAGTGCATGGATAATTTAGGATTACATGTATTAGCTGAATCATAGTTTTCTAAGTACCTAACTGCCTCTGAGTATTGTGGATGTCATGCAATTTATTCTTCCTTTTATTTTTCCAGGATGCCCTATTATAAAGAGACTACAGTAAAAATGAATATGTTACTTTACTAATTATTGCTGAATTTTATTCTATAATGCATATTTTAAATGGACAATATTATCCCTGGAACTGACAGGTGTATGAGAACAAATTTACTTATGTTTTTATCACATATCTTTTCATATTAATATAGGTAATAGTAAGTAATCTGTAGATTTTCTTTTCCTCTTGCCATATTTTTCACAACAACTTCTTCCCAAACAAAAGTATTTATGAGTGACTGATATAGAGAAAGATGCCTAGAAAATGCATGTTAATCATTCCTTTTTTAAATTAGTGATTTTTATTTTTGATATAGTAAAACTACCATATTATTATTCAGAATATTAGAATGTTTTCTGTTGTCATAGTATTTTCTTCTTAAAGAATGCTCTTTTGGATGGTTTGCAGTGATTTATTTGGTAATTACTTTTTAGTCCTTTCCCTTGAAAGTATTTGCAAGCATTATTTTGTATCCTCTGTATAGAATTTATAAATTGTTTTAATCTTGTTATTCTAATTGAGCATAACCCAGTGAAGATATTCCACGCGACAGAGAAATGTTTTATACAGTTCCAGAGGGACATTTTTTAAAACATAAGGAAGAGATAAGCTCTTGAGAAGGTATAATGTGAGAAGATCTAATATAAAGCATTATGTAATTTTAAGGTGTTTATAGTGTAGTAAACAGACTAAACAGGCCAGGCCTAGTGCTTGATAGCTGCCATGCATATATATATATATATATATATATATATATATATATATTTTACAGTTTTTAGGGTGTTTTTATGCTATAATAGTCAACAACTGTGTTTCTCTGCTTTATTTTCTGCCAGTGCTTTGTTTGAAGCCCAGTATTAAGTGTTTTCAGATATGTTATAAAAGCTACTATTTCAACGCTTTTCAGAAGTTGAATTCAGAACTTAGAAAATGATAGCATTTCTGTAGAGCTGAATAAAAGTGACAGATTCCTATACTTCATTTTGACAGTGCTTTATCTCATCCATCTGATTTTCAGAATTGTTACCAATTCTGGTCTCATATCATTTTATATGCTCAGTGAATATAAATTTACTCTAACATATAGAAATTTAATTTTCTTAATTTTTTTCTGCCAATTTATTTTTAATCCTGTCTCTTCCTGGCACTAATTATTTCAGATAGTTTTGTGATGGGCTGGAGCGATAGCACAGTGGGTAAGGCTTTTGCCTTGCACACCGCCAACCCGGGTTTAATTCCTTCGTTCCTTTTGGAGAGCCTGGCAAGCTACCAAGAGTATCTCGCCCGCACAACAGAACCTGACAAGCTTCCCGTGGTGTATTTGATATGTCAAAAACAGTAACAACAAGTCTCACAATAGAGACGTTACTGGTGCCCGCTCGAACAAATGGATGAACAATGGGAGGACAGTGCTACAATCTTACAATTTTTTTAAGTGCACTCTGAAATTAATAAAAGGAAATGTGCAAGATTTCTTTTCTGAAATATTTAGATAAATAACTTAGGAGATAACTGATCTCTACTTGTGTAGAATAGATTTGATCAAACTCTTTTTATTTCATATTCATTTAGCATATAGATATGTGATTTTAATTGACTCTGATTTTTAAGCATTTAAATCCAGTAGAATGGTTACTTTAAAATGGCCGTGAATCTTGTTTAAATATCTATATTTCATTCAATACTCCTGTTACAAAGGGGGGAGGGAGGGAAAGAGTAATTTTGCTATTCTAACCTTGCCTGGGAAAATGCATCACAGCATAACACTTTCTATTATGGCATATGACCTCTATTCCTTTGTAAAAACAAACAATTCCTGACAATATTGCCTGCTATTTAGAGGAATTTCTTTTTACCTATTTCAGCTTTTATGGAGTCCATATTTTTCTCACTACTGAAGCTTTATTCCTAGCCTTCTGTACACTGAAAGAAACTAATTTTAAGTAACAATCTCTTACTGAGGCAATAACCTAGAATTATATTTATTTGTAAATATTGCATGGCAACTGAAAAGAAAATTATATTTAGCATTCTAATAATGCTAATGTCTCTACAAATATATCAAATGCTTTATAATACAGGGCCTGATAATCTTGTTTGTGCTTTATCACATATTTTGTTTTGTTCTGAATTCCCCTGGGGTGTTTTAGTACTCTGTAAGAGAAGGATACTGCTAGAAGACCCAGACAGGTTACCTTTCTTGTTTTCATACCCTAAATAATGCATTTTCATTGAGAAGAATAAGGAAAATAATAAATACTTTGTATGTTGGATTATCTGGCTTGTTATTTCTGTATATTCCATGAGCGATTAAATGTGATTATACCATAATAATTAAATGCAAATAAAAATAAACATTTGGCTTGCATGTTTAGAAAACTAATGCTATTTTCTTGTCTCTTTCTAGTAATTTGCCTCGTAGGATTAGGCCTGGTGGTCTTCTTCTTCAGCTTTCTACTTTCAATATTCCGTTCCAAGTACCATGGCTATCCTTATAGGTAATATCATAATACTAAAATGTTTTAATTTTTAACTTAGAAAAAACATAATTCCAAAGTTTATATGTTAAATATTAAATTTATTTTCTAAGTAGCTTTCTCATTTGAAAAGTAATTTTATCTCCATTAATTAAGTTTTGGAGTACTGATCATGTGTTTAGAATAACTTAAATATGAAATGAGTCATAATCTCTATTCTAAGTATATTGTCATTTTAGAGATACATTTTATATCTCTATATAAACGAGTATTGAGTCATGCAGAATTTATTAAAATTTCTTTTCTTAATTTGCTTACCACAATTTTGACTATCTAAAATATTTGTCTCATATAATCTGCTGTTCAGTATCTAATAAATTTTGCATTATCTTTTGAATTCTTCCAAGTTTTAGTTCTTTCAAGGAAAGCCAATTTGAAAATGGAAAACTAATAATAAAAATAATCACTCATCACTACAAGCCCTAGTAATGATTAGCATCTCATAAGATCATCACTAACATATTGTCATAATTGGATATGGAAGTATTCAAAACTCTGAAACCATGCCATAGCAAATCGTGCTTTTCCTAAAGCTCCCTATAATGAATTTGCCATATTATCTTTGTTCAGTTTGTGCTTTAGGCATAGGTTCATTTTAGGACATATCTCTCTCTCATCATCTCTTAAAGAAAGAAATATTCTCCATTCTTTTCCTTTAGGGAATTCTAATAGTCAAACTCATCTGTCCCTCTGATGAAAGAGTTAAAGGTCTTATATTCCCTTCCTTAGAGAATTTGACAACTGCTGATACAGAAGAATAGAACCAGTGAGGATGGAATATAAAAGCCCATCACACCTTACCTCTCCTTCATATGTGAACAATTACATTATTTTAAGAGAAATTTTGTACATGATAGTGGCATTACCAGAGGAACAAAATTGATCTCTAAACAGGAAAATTATATCAAAAGAATAATACTTTTCAACCCCGCGTCCATATTTTCTCATGTGATTAGAAGCACATTACCAACTCTCTTCCTCCCATAGCCATTAAAAATAAATATACAAAAATGAATTGAAAGAGTGTATGAAATCTCTGCTGTCGAATGAATGTGCATTTATCATCATGGGTTATAAATTTCTTAAAATATCACTTCTGCAGGCAATTGGAAAAACTAAGTAGTTTATTTTCATTATTGATTAAAAAATAGCCTACTAGTTTGATTTTGAAATGATAAAATTATCAGATTAATCAATTCTACAGTTAAGTAAATCTACAAAGATCAAATTATGGGTGTTCTTTCTTTACCCACCCTAGAATGAAGAGTCATGTTCTGTAACAAAAACCTGTAAATTAAGAGAAATAGAGATTATCTTAAGACTATTATCCAGACCGCTGAAAGAAAACACTTTTAAAACTAATCACTCTAATACGTAACATTTATGAGGTGATGAAATTCTATTTCTACATTTCGAAGAAACTACAGTGAGGAATATTGTACGGAGTGTTTGTGTCCTCAGCATTATTTAGTTGATGGACAAGGAGGGAAAATTAAGGGCAAGTTCCAGCTTCCCTTATGTGTGAGAGCACCTAATCAGACCAGTGGCTCTTTTCTTGCTTAGGTTATACCCTTAACAGAGCAGTATTATAACTAGGGAAAGTAAAGAAAATTTAACTAGGGGGAAAAAAAAAACAAGTTCCCATTTGTGTCATAGGATGCTGTGCCAGTTCTGATTCTCTCACATTCTGAAGTATTTTAAAGTGTGCAGTTTTCTACAGGAGTGCACTTTCCATCTTACAGTAACTCTCGAATGCTCTAGTTCTTAACTGGGAGTAGGCATAGCAGCCAACCAGGAAATCTTGCAATGACTCCCCCATGACGTGTATAGTATTTCTCGACCAGGCTCCATATTTGCATGCCTTATTTCTATATGGCTGTGCCCTGAACATCCTTATGAGTGACTTTCCACTGACCCGTGGGGAGGCCCCAACTGGGCTGAACGATGAATGTGACCTGTCATCTGACACCCTAGGGCTGGAAATGCGGATGAAATTTCTTACAGCTCAGCACTGGAAATCATCCTAAAGAGTGATACGTGAATATGAGATTTGGTACCATTTCAGAAGGAAACCCCCGTGAAGGAACTTATGGAAGCAATGTTGGCAACTTAGTAAAGAGCTCCGAAAACAGAGGTGCCAAAGAGAAATAATGTGACATCATAGAAAAACATAAACAGGATTCTCACAGTTGTGGCAGTTCTTGGAAACATTGTTGTCATTGACAGTGCTAGTCTGTGACTGAGCTACTGAGTTAGTCTAGGCCAGTGTAAATGATTTTTTTCACTTAACGATCTTCACAGATCACATTAAAGACTAATAATAGCTCTCCAGCCTCTTGAGAACTTCCATTGTATCTGTTTTTCTAAAGCCTGAATTTTCACTGGATGCAGTGACAAATCATAAAACGACCTTCCTAAAAACTTTAGATTCTCTTCATTGATTAGTCGTACTCACATTCTCTTGCTTTGTCAAGTATAAGTAGCAGTTATTTAAAATTTATTTATAGTATCATTCTGACCTAACACAATATGGTGAAAGGGAATTATAAAGAAAAAGAATCAAATTTGACTTGAGGGGTTTTATTCCCTTTCAGAGTCAAGCAATGGATATATCGTCACCATAATACAGATGGATATTGCTTTGAATTTTGTTTTTATTCCATTTCATCATTTGCTTTCTGATAAAGCCATAATTTTTCCCCTGGAAATATTACCTATTTCTTTGTGAAATTATAATGACAATAATGACATCAGAGTTTTTTAAGTGTATATACTGTGTATATATATTTAAATAAAATCGAGAATTAGCTAAATTCTGAAGCTGAGTTAAGTTCTGAAAACCTGACAGAAACATGGGGAGAAGACATCTATTGGAGAAAAAGAAGAAAAAAAAATGCTATAAGTAAGAGAAAGGGGGGGCTAAAATAAGGAAAGAAAGAGAAGTAATTCTGGGAATAGTAAAAAGGTAAGATACTGAGAAGGATGAAAAAAGTTATTTTTTTCCCACTAAAATAACCTTGAATAAACCTGGTCAGTTATGAACACAGCATTGTAATGTTTGTTCATTGCCTTTTCAGAATGTGTTTCACCAGCATTTTTATAGTATTTGATTAAAAAAAATCCTTGATTATATAAGATAATGACAGTTTTTAGTGAATATAATAGGGTAAAATATTAAGTCATTACATAAAAAGAAAAATCTGCAAAACATTCTGTTGGGCATGCCCATGGCTGACATTTCAACAAATGTCCATTTGAAAGTAGTGTTACCACAGAGAACCCACCATATTAAACTGAGTCACAACTTGTGAGGTCCAAGAAATAGATCATTGACATCTGCAGAATGAAAGAACAACTTCTCAGAGGTAACCATATTCTTGACTTTCAGATGAATTGCAAAGACAGATTTAAAAAAAAAAAAAGATAAAATGCTGCTCCCATATCCACCTATGTTAGACAATACCTAGCTGCGCTTTGGATAAAAAAAAAATTTAAAACCCCTTAGTAAAAACGTATATTTGAGTTTAGCACAATCTTCTAAATTAATCATTACCTTTCGCCTTCCATCTCAATGCAAAGCTACATTATAGACTGTGTTGTTGCTGATTTTTTTGCACTATTGGATTTGTTGCTGCTGTCTTTCTTTTAAGTTTCAGTGAATTCTGACTCTTTTATTAAGACGAAACATTGATATACTTCACTACGTATAGAACTATCTTTAAACAATTTAAAATTTTCCATAAAATTTTTAATTTGACTTAACTATCATCTTTCATTCTTTTATATAGAGTCTTTTTTTGGTATTGATTTTTTTAACTTAACCATCACAAAATCTTTAATATGTTTGCCATTCATTCTACTTTTTTGGACTCATTTCAAAGTTTTTATTTCTTTAAACTTTTTCACGGTATATTTTTTTACAGTGTCTGTTTCACTATCAATAAATTTTCTCATTGTTATGTTTCATAAACAAATTTTCTTGATTTTTAAATGCTTGATCTGCTTGTTTCAAGCCTTGTGACCTTAGAAAAGTTAATTTTTCTAATATTTATTTTACCATTTGTAAACTGAAGAAAATTTTACTTATTTCATTTGACTGTTGTAAGGATTATATGAGAAACATGTCAATTATTAAGCATATTGCCTACTACATAGTAAGTGGCACGTGTTAATCAAATGTTTGATACTAATTGTTATTAATACTGATATTTTTTAAGCTAATTTATATTTCAGAATAATGAATTTAGACTTTTTTCTAAGCAGAAATATTCTTTACACTGCTGATGAAATAATCGCTGTTTTACAGTTATATTATACATTTGAGTGAAAAACAGATTTCCTATAAGTCTTTTGATGAATTTTAATTGGGTTTCTCAATTCCTTGAAACTACAGTAAAAAAGCAACATGAAGATTTGATCTAATTAGTATCTGAGTCATAGTTGAGAAGAAGAAATTTTATTCTGGTAATAGTATTGAATTCTTTTTGTTTATTAAATAACGATTAACTCTAGGGCTTGTCCCATTCATAAGAGGAGCAAAGTGGTAATGATACTTGATAGCATTCACTTATAGATTATTACTCTCCCAATATTGTCTACTTGAACATAATTTTCTGCAAAATATTTCTATAAAATACTTATTTTGTATTATTTGTACTTTAATGGGAAAATAATGAGACATTATTATATCACTTTGCTTCCTAATTACTAAGACTCTATATTTAGAGATGTAGCAGGATACAATGGAAAAATATTACATTGAGAGATCAGCGTTCAACTCATGTTACAATATGTTTATAACATGTTATGGACTCAGGTGCAATAGTTACAAATCTAGATTTTAAAGTCAGCTACTATTTAAAGTTTACTAACTTTGGGACTTATTATGAGTCTTATTTGTCTTCTTATATAAATTTAATAGTGCTGGATAGAGGATTCAATTTATCATTATTTCTGCATGTTTTGCCAAAATATTTAACTTGGTTAAATTTATTTCTCTCTTGAAACTTGAGAATTTTTCTTGAAACTTGAGTATTTAGTTCGCTCTTGAAACTTGAGTATTTTTCCGAATTTGTGAAGATAAAACTTATTTTTAATTTGTAGTGTCTGAAATGTTGTAGATTCTGAGAAAATATAAATTACTATCTCTCACCATTTCTATCCATTTTAGCCCTTAATTACTCAGTACTTTACAATATTACATTTTTCATTATTCATATATGTTTTATATGTTAAGGTCTTTTTCATTCTATGATACTGGGAATTTTAGAGAAAACTCTCCTAGAAATTTCTTTATTTTTAAATCTAAACTGCAATGCAGATAGTTGGTGCTCTTCGTATACTTACTAATTCAATATGTTTACTCAAAACATGTTTTTATTCCTTATCTATATGCAACAGGAACCATTAACATAGAAACATAGTGAAAAGAAGAGTACTGGTTTGCCACATTGTACACGTCTAGAAGATGGAATTCACATCCAAATGATACCCCAATGGAGTTGTCAGGTTGTTCCACACAATTAAACCTCTGTGTGGAATTTGGAGAGATAATTATTCCAGAAACCTGAGCTCTAAAAATACTTATTTAAATCTCAAATGAATTCTGAGCTGACTGGCATCAAAGAAAAAAGAAAAACGTAAACTAAGCTTTTAATGAACACAGAAACTATCTTTGTCTTAAAAAGATACTTGTAATTAATGTTGTCCTTTGTTATTTTGAGAGATGATAACAGAAAAACGAATTGACATTTAGTAAGGGGAAAAAAAACACCTTTAAATGAGCTTTTGACAAGTACTCTAGTGAGCAAACACAGGAAGACAAAATTGTCAGGATATAGCTGAAGCAATGGTAGGGCGGGTAAGACGCTTACCTTGCTTGTGGCCGACCTATACTATACCCAGCATCTCATATGGTCCTCCGAGCCAGCCAGAAGCGATCCCTAAGTGCAGAGCCAAGGGAAAGCTCTGAGCATCCCCAGATGTGGCTCAAAAACAAATCAAAATTCCTAGGATGCATAGTGTATGATAAGCATATTCATTTGTACATTTAAGGCAGTTTTTTTCAACGCGAGGAAAACAGTTATGAGCTATTCACACATATCTGGAGTGACAGCACAGCGGGTAGGGTGTTTGCCTTGCACGCTGCTGATGGGCCGATCTGAGTTCAATTCCTCCCCTTCTCGGAGAGCCCAGCAGGCTACTGAGAGTGTCTCGCCCACATGGCAAAGCCTGGCAAGCTCCCTGTGAGATATTCAATATGCCAAACACAGTAACAACAAGTCTCACAATGTTACTGGGCCTGCTGGAGCAAATCGATGAACAACAGGAAGACAGTGCTACAGTGCTACATACACACCCCACCAAATTGATGATCAACCTGCAAATGATGAGAATTTCACAGGGAATGGGGGGAAGTAGAGATTGTATAGCAGGTAGGGTGCTTACCGCCTGAGTTTGATCCCGGCAAACCCTGTGTTCCCCTCAAGCCCACCAGGAGTGATGCCTGAGTGAAGAGCCAGTAGTCAACCCTGAGCACAGCCGGGTGTGACCCAGAAACCAAACAAAAGTGCAAGAGAAGTTAACTAGGATTGCTTTTCTCATGCCAAAGATTTACAGCTTTAAAGAACATAAAAGTTTGAGCATTTAGAGACTAGAGTGAGCAAGAGTACTGACTGTAAAGGCACCACTGACTATCCCTTATTTTATCTAGCTAAAGAATACAGTGCTGAGTCTTATTTACAAATGGAAATTGAATCTTAAGGATTATTTTTTCCATATTGTTGTATTTCATTGTGGTGTTTTGGAAAGTGATCTGGACTTTGAGTGAGAAGATGTGATTTGGACCATGGCACTTTAAAACTGTATCCTCAGGCAAGTTTTTTAATCTTCTCTGAACCTCAGTTTTCTGCATCATTCAATTAATGACATTAATCTTGTAGATAAGTTATAGCAAATATTGTTTAATAGAAGTAACTTTAACTGTGAAATCTTGTTTCATCTTATGTTACTGTTTTTAACTATGCAGTTAAAAATTTCTGGCAATAGACTGATGGAATTAACCTCTTGATAAAGAGTATGTTTTTAAAAATAGCGATACATATGCATATGCGTACACCTGTCATTCAAACTATAATTACATTTAGTTACTTCTGTTTTACTAATTTGGACAGGTGACCCCACCTGAAAAATGTAATCAAAATGCCTTCCTATCACCAACCGCTATAGACCTGTCATACCAAACTGTTATTCTAGGCATGGTAGAACAATATATGTACATTTTTAAGTCAACATTTCTGTTTCAGAAATATATACTAGGAATGGAACATCTACTACACGAATTTTGTAGATGAGATTGTCTTATGTGATAGTTATTTTTGTACAGAATTATTTTAATAAGGTTTTTATTGAGAACTATACATTGCTGCCCCTCCAAGATGATAGCAAATTGTCTGAGCAAACATAAACGTCAATAGTAGCTCTAATTTTTTTGTGTGTTTGTGGGTATTTCATTGTGGGAATGTCGTACTGTAGCAGAAATTCCGTCTTTCAGCAATTCATTGAACAGAGGGAAATAGTTGGAAATTCCTGTGATCTAAAAATTCTTCAAATTCTTTTTTTGCCTTTCTTACAGCCTTACCCATGTTACTAGTTCTGTTGTTCTTTATCTACCTCCATGCTTGGTATTCATGTTTTTGATCATCTATAATCATTAAATTGTGATATTATAACTCATTACTAAGTGTCTCTGAGTAGGATGTGGAAAGAAGTTACCTTGGCGATAGTTAAGAATTAAAAGAAGTTACTCGGTGTGGAGGCATAGAAGCAAAGGCTTCTGTTATTAAATGTCTTTTTCCCTACTCTCAAATGACTGAACTTCACCAGATCTTTTCTTTAGTGTATTTATGCCAAAGACTTTTCCAGAAAAGTTGAGCCCTTGGAATATAGACAAAAGAGCTATAGCTAGACAGGCACTTCTCCCTCACACCCCTTGAGAAGACCTATGAAAATAAAGATTAAAAATGTTGAGTCACAGGGACTTCTCCTAAAAACAAGGCCAATGAAACCAAATAAAGAATTCAGCTAGTGGTCAGTCTGTACTCTGTTAGGAAAGCAAAGCCATCCCTCCCATCTATACTTTAACACCAGTATCTGAGCAGTATCTTGCGCCTTACTTACATAAGAGGTTTTAGTAAGACAGAAGAAAATTCTCACCAATAAGGAGATTCTGCCCAGCTGAAGATGTCAGCAGAAAATTTAACTAGCTCCATTAGACGAACAACATTCGTGAACACTGTGTTCGTGTTTTACAAAGCAACAGAATTATGTTGATTAATTCACAAAACAGCAAACTATATTAGGTATATAAGATATCTAACAAGAAAGGAAAATTTAAAATTCACATTTAATATAGATGGGTTTGATCACGCAATAACAAATCATGCAACACACATAATCTCTTTGTCATTGGTTGATTAGTTCCTCTTGTTGTAAGCTGGATTTTATATGGCGCACTATACCTTTTCTCCCCTTATTTATTTATGTTATTTCTCAGAATCCTGACCTTTCTGTTGATGCCTTGAACCAGAACTTTCTACACCTTTCACCTTCCCCTCAGCATGTTCAAAATCAACCTCATTTTGCTTTGAAATCTACTTCTTGCATCTTTTCCCATGTTTCTTCCCTAAGACAGTAAGGTTCAATCATATATGATAGAAAGTTTCGAGTCATCTTACCATCATCCCTCAGCTCTCCCTGTTCTATTCCTTGTTTTGGATTCTAGTCCCACTACTACGGTCTCAATTGATACACCAATATTTTTTCCAGACTGTCACCTAGCTTAATTTATCTCTAAATACAGTCATTATCCTCCATAAGCAATGACTAATTCATGCATTTTAAAATATGCATAGGTTATGTTGTATAAATCTGAATCAGAATATATGCATAACTAACAAGAAAAGGAGAGAAAGTTTTATTTTTTCTTTCTAGGATGTATGTATAAGCAAAATTAAGTATTACTTTCTTAATCACAGCACCAGTTTCAACAGTTTCATACACACACATAAACACACACACACATTTAAGCTTAGGAATAGAGTATACCATATTTTGTAAGCTTATTTTTTATATATATCATAAGCGTATTTCCGTGTCATTGGTTTTAGTCTATAAGATCTCTCTTACTAATAAGAATTCTTATGATACCAATAATCTTTATCTCTTGAAAATTTGTCCCATTTGTCTGGTTTAGCAGAGGACTTGGTTGTTAACGCTTGCTAGTGTGAGGAAGTAAAGCCAAAGAAAACTGTTCTGAGATATCAACCCTACTCATACTTTTTGTTCACAATTTATACAGATCTGAAAGGAGTGTTTTTAAATCCTAATCAGATTACACAGATCCAAAAGGAATAATCACATCTCTGAGGACTAGGAAAAGGGAGATCTTCTTGGGATATTTATGCAAGTTCTGGCCTGATGTCGACAATTCCTGGGTCTAGTTGGCTCCCTTGCACAGTAGCCTACCTCTCATTCTGCTACCCTAAGTAACACTGACGGTTTGCTTCAGAGTAGGCCAGTCACGGTACTCATGGTGACACATCATGGGATACCATGAACTCTACCTAGATTCATTCATGATCGAGGTGGACAGGCATCCCGAAAGAGGATGCTGAAGGGCCGCAAGCAGCCACTCATCCTCTGCTGAAGTGACTGCAACACTAAAAAGCACATTCTAAGTAAAAGGAATATGATGTTTCATTTTTGTGTGTATGTGCTTTTTGGGTTACTCCTGGTGATGCACAAGGGTTACCCCTGGCGGTGCTCAGGAGACCCAGTGGGATACTGGGAGTCGAACCTGGGTTGGCCGCGTGCAAGGTGAATGCCCTACCTGCTGTGCTATTGCTCCAGCCCCTGATGTTTCATTTTTAAGTTTCATCCAAAAGTGTTTTATACGTCTTATGAGAGAATTCTTCAAAAAGAGAGAATATCCATGCATAAATCTTTGAAAGCTGTGACGGGTGAAAAAAGTATCCAACCTGACAAGAATTAGGAACTAATCTCAAGTGATTAAATCAATACAAAACACTCATATTGAAAATAACAAGTATGTTTAATAATGATATAATGAAAACAAGAGATGCCTACTTATTGTTGTGAGAAGTAGACTTTATACTTTCTCAAGAAATATGTTGGCGGTCTCCCCAGCAGTATCTGAAGTGTATCAAGGGGCCATTACCAGTAATACTGAGTTAGGGGTTCAGGTCTGACCACTGTAGGATGCAACGTACCAGTGCTATGCTGGTGCATGTGCCAGAGAATCAACTCAGGGCCTCCTGAATGCCATACATATATTTAATCCCTGTAACTCTTTGGCCTCAAGAAATACTTAATATAAAAACAATTGAGGGGCTAGGGAGCTAGCACAGGGGCTAGCTGTTCATGTTTTACATGCATGGAACCCCACTGTGATCCCTAGTACCACATGCTCCCCTGCCAAGTACCTGCTACTGTGGTACTCGGCCCAATGGTGCCGAGCCAACACTAGGATGGCGCTGGTGGTCTCCATACAGCAGGGCCTGAGCACCTGCACCACATCTCAGGCCTTGCATGGTATCATCAGCCCAGGTGGTTGCACATCACTGGAAAGGACCCCAACTCCCTGAGTCCTGATGGGGATGTTCCTCCACACACACAAATCAAAACGTTTTTATACTTAGTGCTTCTAGTCTTTCTAGTAACTTGAGAAACACTTGTTCAAATTAAACATTTTAAGGGAAAAAATATACCTTAATAAGAGTTACTCTTAGATTGTTCTTTAATTGTTACAGTTGAAGGATCAGATCAAGACTGAATATATATTTATCATTTACTGATGAAATATTTTACAGTAGCTTACAAAAGTAGTTTCAGCATTAGGAAACCATGAGTGAGAATCATGGCAGCAACTGTTAGTATTTTAATTAACAAAATACAAGATTTGATCCCAGACACTGCATGCAGTCCCTGAGTCTCGCCAAGATTAAGTTCTATACGTTAACAAGTGCCTTCCCCGCAGAAATTCTAAATGCAAAGATTCTTTACTCGCTGCTAATGTAGAAAAATCTACAAATCATAGATACCTTCTTAACTTTTATAATTTCAAAAGATTAAAAAGTGTGAGGTGTCGGGACCAGAGCAATAGTCTAGTAGGTAGGGCTTAAATACTGCTGACCTGGGTTTGATTTACGCCACACCATAAATCAGAATTTTTGTTGGAGCCCCTCCAGGAGTGATCTCTGAGCACTGCCAGGTATGACCCAAAAAGCAGAAAAAAAGCAAGAATGAAGAGTCATAGTGTCATGGTACTATTTTTGCTTGCATGTTGGGAATGATTTCAAAAATGATGAAAGACACTCATTAGTCTATCTCAGCTTGAGATAGGTCAGGCTTTAAGAATAACAACAAAAACGTTATGGATCCTTAGAGTAAGTTTCATTGTTGGAATTAAGTGGCACATCTATTTTGTCATCATTGTTGTGAAGAATTGTGTAAGTTTAACAGCCATAAATAATACTGCAGAAGTATATTGCTGGCATTATTTATGGAGAAAGTTAGCCTTGCAGTACTTAATTATAACTTGTTATTTTGAAAAATGGAAGAAATGCCTTATTGTACCCAGCTAGATATCCATGCAATATATTTACTTCATGATTTAATTCCTCAGATACTAAAAGTAGTAATTTTAGTGTGTGTTACACTTATATTACATAATGTAGAACATCTCAACTGAAGTATATGTGTACAAAATATAAAATATACTTTATATGTGTAAACACTTTGTATCACCAGGATCATAAACTATAAGCACTGACTGTAAAGAACTTCGGAGATCATCTAAAATTAGTGTTCTTTTCAGTAATGAGGAAAATGTGGTTCCGAAACAAAGTGTGCCTAACATATGAATATTAGGTTTAAGCCATTAAAATTCCTTTGTTGGAGCCAGACAGATAGCTCAACAAGTTGCACACGTAGTCTCTAGAGCACAGCCAGAAGCAACCTCTGAGCACAAAGCTGGGGGTGGCACCCCTCAAAAAAAAAGTGGTTTGTCCCTAAGCTATCCTACCAAGTCATTTTGTGTTTTCAAGACATAGAAGAAAATATGTTATATCAGAAAGTTATGTAAAACAAAAACTTGGTAAGGGATGCTTAGTTTTTCTTACAGTTTTACAAAGTTAATATACATAGATTAAAGTTTTACTTAGGAAACATGAAAAAAACGTTACCTCTGATGTTACTTTCTATGTGTGCAGTCATCTGTTGGTATTTTTTAATCAAAATTGATGACACTTATGGCTTATGTATACTTTTTGGCTGCTAAATATAATGAGGTCATACTATCCATTTTGAAAGATTGTGTGCATTTTTGTGTAAGAACATTATGGATTGAATGGTGAGTAATATTCTCTTTAGGACCCTGAAGTGAGCTACTTCCAACACTTGTTTCAGTCTACCTTCTTTTCTGCCCTGCATTGCCAGTTGGAATCCTCACTTTAGTGTAGGTCTGGAGCAGACTTACTTTTCCACTTACCACCCCTTTTCACCCCAGAAATGTTTATGCATCTCTTGATTTGTAGTTATAGTTATGACATTTACAGATAACAAATCAGATGTCATTCAGTTTTGAGACTTTAGATGGGAATAGAACCCACCTTTTAACAAACTAGGATCTAGACATCAATGAGAGGCACATCAAAAGAAGTATTCTCCCAAAAACGTAAACCGGACAAGTTCAATTTTTATGAGCATTTTCTCTCTCCGCTGATATTTTGTCAACATAGGGTGACCCTGTTACAGTAGTTAGATCAAAGATCAACCTACTGTAAGAAGTAGGTTGAGATGTATTGTTATATGTATATGTATATGTGTATTGTTTTATATATATATATATATATGTACTAATTGAAAATTATAAAGAAAGCATATTTGGTTTTCCTTATTTTCAACACATTATTTTTTTTTCTTTTTCAGCTTTTTAATTAAATGAAGCCAAGTGGGATTTGCATAAAGTGAATGTTTACCATGAAGATAGTGTTCCTGACAGTACTTTTGAGTATTTTGGTTCCTTTCTTTGTTGTGATAACCTAGCTTATTCTTGTATGATTTTTATTGTGAGATTTCTAGTAAATATAATTTATAGAAATGGATGGCTAAATGTAGTATTAACTCTGTAAAGAACAAAGGAAACATTGAGGTGATTTTAAAGTTTGTAGTGTATCTGTTATGAGATTGAAATAATCTTTAGGAATTCATGTTTAGGACTGTTTATAAAAGGGAACACAATGTTAGTAAGAGAAAGCTAAAAGGTTAAAGTATCCTTAAAGATGTACAGAGATAAAGTATATGCATGAAACTGTGCCATGTGCTGAAATTATACTGACTGTAGCTTCAGGTAGAAAAGATGTGTCTGGTTACAAATAGTATTTTGTTCTTATTAATCATAACTAGATAAAGTTGTGTGAGGACATGGAGCAGATAAACAGTACCTATAGCATGGTCCAACCTGGGAAATGGAGCTTCTTCCCAGGATGTAAATATCAAGCACAGTGAACTGAATCAACCAGCCTCAAAGGCATCAGACAATCGAAGCAACACAGCAAAACAAGGAATTAATTCCTCTCCAACTTTACAAATGTCTTCTGAGTATCCATAATTTCAACCACAAAACTAGCTCTGACCCTTTCCCCCTTTGTTTCTATGGAATTTTTCATGGACTCTTTCATTTAAAAAATGTAGGAATCTGACGAGCATTATGACATATTGTTGTTATTAATAGGGGCAAGGAGATGGAGGAGTGGAAAGTTTGGGAAGAGTGAGAAGATTGTGTTTAAGTTAATGTGCTTATTGGTTCAGGGTACTAGATTTCCCACTAGTGCCACATGCATGCTGGACTTATGCTCTAACACTGAGTTTCTGTCCCTGCCCTCCTCCATTATGTTTGTGTATCTGGTTTTACTTTATTAAGCACTTCACATAAGGTATCCTTCAGAAAAAAACCTGTGTATTAGATGGAAAATTTAAAATGTCATATTAGTGTACACATGAGAAACAGCTAAACACAGATAAATAAAGCATATAGCTTATCATTGGCTTTCAAACTTTGAAACCAGAATGTTTATTTTGTGGTGCTACCCTAAGAAGGATCAAACAGGTATCTGGTTCAATAAACTCTGTTTTTCTTTGACGTTGTTATCTATTTTTTTAAGATCTGTACTTGTTTTGTTGAGAACATTATTAGTTGGGAGTGGTATCTATCTTCTCAAACGGGAACCTGGTGGACAGTCACTGAATTCATTTGTTTTACACTTAAAACACAAAACACAGGAATTAAGTTGTCTATAAATTCATGGAAACAGTGAAAATAAAGCAAAACAGAGTTGGGCTGGAGAGACATCCACTGGACAAGCACGTGCTTGTACACGGGAGAGATATAGGGTTCATCCCGGGCAGGAACAGTGAGGTCTGGCCAGAAACAAACTAAGCTGGGTACTTGGTATTTTATTCAACATAAATCAGCATTACTTTTTTTTCCATAAACATTATAATGAACCATTTAAGAGCTTGCTAAGAATAAGAAAATTTAAGAAAGAAAATGAAATTCTGTAGGACACATCAAGTGAAACCCAACGGCAACTATCAGGGGGAAAATTCATATTTTTAAGTCAGGATGATTCTTAGTGAATTTTACATAGTTTTGGAATCTTGTTAACCAGATCACATTCCCTAATCTGTTGTTAAAAGTTATATTAATCCCTCTATTTACTCTTCAAAGACTGATAGGTGTAGTACTTAGGATGGCAGGTACTGAAAACAAATGATCCTAATTGCTTTTAATAACTTTTTTCTAAGTAGTACTTGACCTCTCAGTTATATTCCTCTGAGTATTTTTATGTGTTTTATAGTTCATTCAGAAAAAACATTATAATTGAAGTTGGACACAATATTGTACAAGTTTCAAACATTTACTATAATTACTTTCGTTTTTCTCTTTAAAGCTTATGTTTAATCATGACCCAAGTCAGATTTAAACTCTGAGATAAGAACTTAAGCTCTCAGAACAGTAGAAGTATTCTAGCCTACATTATGTAATTTACTGAATATTAAATAATGTGCCAAGCAGAAAACAGTTTTCTCAAGATGTCATAATTTAAATAGCTACTGCTTTTCTGGTTGACAACTGTTGCATTACAAAAGTGATTCTGGAGAGAAACAGCTTCAAAGTAAGTCAATATTGGAAACTGCTACCAAAAAAAGTACCAAGAATGGTTCAAATGTAATTTGTTTTTAGAATGTACAATGTACAAAATCACATAATGTGATTACATACTACATTTAAATGAAATTAATTCGTATTATGTTATATTAGAAGCTGTCTCCTTTCAGCCACATTAACTCCTTAAAACCCGATTATCTGTTAAACAGTCTTTTTTAAATTTTTTTTATTTATTTACTTAATCACCATGAAATTACAAAGTTATTCATGATTTGGTAAACCCACAGTGCAAAAACATATTTTTTAAAGTCTTATTTGAATAATAAAAACTACTAGTAAACTGGAGATGAAATTCCATCTTTAGAATATGAATGTGTCACATTTTACTCTGCATCCTATTCCTTGTTTTACTCACATGAAAGAACTGAATAGCATGTTTGCTATCTTTTTCTTTGCCACTCAAAGGAAAATCCCCCCATCAAACAGTTCAGCAACTGTGGTAATGAGATTTGATCTTGTAACCATAAAGCTTGACAAGTCTTCCCTTCCTTGCACTTGTGAGACCCTAAGAGCATATGAAGGGAGTGGCTATTCTCAAGATCATGAAATTGTTTTGAATTCAGTGGCACTGAACATTGAGCTATAGGAAGGAGTGATAAGAAGCAAACACAGTAGCTAGAACATTTAGAAACAAGTCATTTGACTGAACTATTGGAGATTCAGTGTTCCTTACAGTCCACAAATGCATGTATGTATGCATACATACTTATGAAATGCACACACAATTATATATATTTCATTATATTTTCATATATACTTATATGATAATATAGCATATAGTTTATAGGTATGATACATATACATATATACATATACATATCATACCTGGCAATACTAGGGAACCATATATGATGGTGCCAGGGATTTAACCAGTGTTGGTCACTTGCAATTCAGTTGCCCTATCTACTGTAGTTTTTCCTCTAACCCAGTCCTCTATCCTCTTGTTTAATCTTATTTTCTACCCTTGCCCACACTCAGCAGTGATACTTAAAATGGCAGCCAGTGTTCATATGGTGACTGGTTCTAGAGGAAACAGAATGGACCTTATTGCCAGGCAATTGTGTTTGGTTTTGACATTGTAGGATTTGATGTTTATAGGAATCCGTCTGTTTCTTCTAACTCTGACTCTTCTCGGAGTAGCTTCAGAAAAGGACTTTTTCCAAGTGAACATGCTGCTGCCATGCCCAAGGTGAATGATGAAGGTTGGGACACACTGTCACAGGCTTGGGAGAACAGATGGGCATGACATATCTTTGGAAATAAAGACTTTGATCATAGCATTATTCTGGTACAGCATTATGGAAAACAGTATGGATATTCCATCAGAAATTAAATTCAAAACTGCATATGGTGTCTCACAATGTCACTTCTTATAGGTCCCACCGGCAATTCTTGACAAACTAGGCATTAATTCATGCCAGCATGTGTTGCTGCTGAGACCCTGCAGTTCTGAGGGGACCAGGTCACACAGGCAGTGTTGGGGGCCTCCAGGGTCATTCCCAGTCAGGCCTGGAGGAAAATGAATTGGTAATCAAATCCTGGTCAAATCCTAAACGGTGGACATTATCACCCAAAATCATATTTGGGACAGAGAAGGTATGCCATGCCTGGTAATGCTGAGGGCTTACTCTTGGCTCTGTGCGCAGGGATTCCTCCTAATAAAATCAGTATTTTAAAGCAGTGTCTGTATTCCCATATTTCCCATCACCAATTAATAGTAGTCAAGATACAGAAATAACACAGGTGTCTCTTAGATGAATGAATAAAGAAAACGTGGCTATTGGGCTAGAGCAATAGTACAACAGGTCTGGTGCTTGGCTTGCACACAGCAGACCCGGATTTAATCACAGCATCCCATAAGGTCCTCTGAGCCCACCAGGAATGATTCTTAAATGGAGAGCCAGGAATAAGCCCTGAGTTCCACTGGGTGTGGCCCCAAACCAAATATTAAGAAAATGTGGCCTTTATATACAATAAAATAATAATAATCACAGTCCTCCCATTGTTCATTGATTTGCTCAAGCGGGCCCAGTAACATCTCTATCATGAGACTTGTTGTTACTGTATTTGGCATATCGAATACGTCACGGGGTGCTTGCCAGGCTCTGCCGTGCGGGCGAGATACTCTCGGTAGCTTGCCGGGCTCTCCGAGAGGGGCAGAGGAATCGAACTCGGGTCGGCCATTTTGGCCGCTTGTAAGGCAAATGCCCTACCGCTGTGCTATCGCTCCAGCCCATACAATAAAATATTCATCCATAAAAAAAGTGAAAACTGCAATTTGTTACAATAAATACATAATTTTATGGTGTCATGCTCAGTGACATAAACCTGACTCAGACATTGTATGATCCACATGCACATTCAATTAATTTTTTTAAAATCAAACTCAGACAGGGTACTAGTGCTAGGGAAAAACATGAGAAAGGATACAAGCTTTATAAGTGAAGTCTAAGTTGGGAGGATCTACTATACTGGTTAATTATGCTATATTGTATAGTAATGTATATTAGAATTAGACAAAGCTCTTGGTCTAGTCACCAAAAAATAAAAAAAAAATACACAAATTTCACGTAGGTGTTAACTAAGTGTGGCAATCCCTTTATAATAAAGGTAAAGGCAAAGGCCCTCCCGTTGATTGTCGATTTGCTCGAGCGGGCCCAGTAACGTCTCCATTGGAGACTTTGTTGTTACTGTGTCTGGCATATCGAATACTCTCTGTAGCTTGCCGGGCTCTCCGAGAGGGGCGGAGGAATCGAACTCGGGTCAGCCATGTTGGCTGCGTGTAAGGCGAACGCCCTACCCACTGTGCTATCGCTCCAGCCCCATCCCTTTATAATACATGCATATATTAATTAAAACATTGTACTGTTTAAATTTATACAGGTTTGAAGGGGAAAGAGTTGCCACACCCAGCAATGCTCAGCAGATATTATGAAGTGCCAAAGATGCAAGGTACCTAAACCCCTGAACATTATTTACCATTTATGCCTCAAGGGAGCTGGAGAGATAATACAGGGGTTAAATGCTTGCCTTGAAGCTTGCTTTGTTTGCGGACACCCCTATTTAATTACTGCATTTTCCCTGAGCACAACCATGACTAATTCCTGAGCACAGAACCAGAAGTCAGGCCTGAGCACCACACAAT